AGGGTTAGATTAGGATTTTTTCTCTCTAGTTTAGGAGTAGTTTTAGAGAAAGAAAGCTTGGATTTCAATGGAGATTTGAGAGCTTGAAAAAGCAATTTTGTGGATTCTCTTCTCATCTATTCAATGAACTTTTCTAACTTTCTCTCACCTTTATTGCTTTGTTTAATTCTTGTTTTTCCTTATTTCATTTTTTATTAGAGTAGTTAATTAGTTTACTTGTTTGATTCTTGCTTTAATTCTAGTTTTACCTTGTTTTCTATGTTTTTCTTCATTATGGTTACTTAGATTTTGTTCTAGCTAGGGAAATGGATGAAGGTTATGTTGATGAATTCAGTGATTGGTTGTGATTAGTATGCAATTGACTCTTGATTATTGTTTTTGGATGATGCTTACATTGACTAGAATCTTTTTAGCTAATTGATTCTTGTTTCTTAATTGTGCTTTCAATCAATTTTGCGCAAGTGAGTTGATTGAGAGTCTAGATTCTTCCATGCCTTTGCTAGGCTAGTTGCGCGGGAGTGAATTAGCTTAATAGGATAATTAGCATGTTTGATTGCGCGGGAGTAAGTTTAGTGTGTTAATTGTTCTTAATTGAGATCATGATCATCTAATTGCGACTTGTTATTGAATTCATTAATGTAATTGGATTCCCTTTTCCCTGATATCTTGTTAATTGCTTTAAGTAGTGTTTTAGATGTTTCTCTCCCTATCTCATAATCTTCCTACTAGTCTAATTACCTCAAATTAATACACTTAGTCCTTGTGGTTCGACCCTAGCTTGCCACTATCTAGTGTAAACTTGATAGAGTTAGGTTAGGAATATAAATTGTTGATTTGATCTAGGATAGTAGACACGACCTATTGTCACCCGATTAAGTTTCTGGCGCCCTACAATGCCGAGAATACTCCACCGTCCCCAAGGGCTTTTGAAGCTTCCGCCAAAGATATTATCTCCTTCTTCGGGCCGACACCATACCTATTAATAATCTTATTCACCTTCTCTGACTGTTCTACACATTCCATGTCCACCTTTCTCGGAATCAAAGTTCGTCCCATTGGTATTCTTAAGATTGAATACACTTGGTTTGGACCCAAGTGCAATACTCCACCGTCCCCAAACACTAAGGTCCCATCGCTTTTCACTCTCGTCATCAACAAGGAATGTTCTTCATATCCAAACTCAGCAAACTTCCAAACCCCATTATTTTCACCAAGTTCTTCCGATGTTCATCAAATTTAAATTTGTCAATATCTTCACAAAAGGTATCTACTCTACAAACAATGTTCGGGGGCTGTAATAAAAAAAAAGGAACTGAAGTTAGCTTACTCACACATTTTGATGAATGACATACCATACACACAACTATCTCAAAACAGGGACATGATAGCTGCTAAACAGAGTTAATAACAACATCAAGAAAGAATTCATACCTTCCCAACCTTGTCAAATTGGGTCTTCAACACTGCACCCCTCTAATAGACCTTTTCTCCCTCAGTTTTTGGCACCTTCCTTTTGGATTCACCTGCCTGTCCTGCACCCATCTTCCTTTTCTTACTCTTACTCTTAAAAACTGCTTCAACATATTCTCTAATGATCATGAGTTAGACTTAAAATAATCTTCTTACTCCGATTGTGTAGAACCAGAACCAGATTCCTCATCACCACTTTCCTCAACAATTTTTTCTGTTTAGGTTTTTTGAGATTGCTTTTTGACTTAACACCAGGAGCTTTCAATTTACCATTCTCAGCTTTCGAACTTCCGGCGTTCTTCGAAGAACCCTACCAAATAACAGAGTCTAATATAAGCTTACATGCTCAGGTAGTTAGCCAACAATTAAAAATTCAGTATATCTAAATACTAACACTCATCCCCATCCGTTCCCAAGAACAATTTCGCACAATCGACTTGTTCTTCATCATTTTCTTTGTTATTGTCAACTGCTGTATCAAATAAAGAGTCCTTTTAAATTAATAAAGAACGCTAACACAACACATAATCTCACACTGTTACAAATAATCAACCACAACATTTCATTTTAATATACCATGGCATTCCAGATATAACACACTTTTCTACTAAAAACAAGAAAACTTGAGGCAACTTCAAATAATGATTTCAAAGGGTTTAATTTAAAAGGCCAGAACAAGCCTATATGAAAGCCACACATAATCAAAAATCAAGAACCTGTATATAGTATTCAACATCATAATAATATGCATTGTACCATCCAATACCACATATTTCAAATTCATATTTAGAATTAAAAAAAAAAAAAAAAAAAAAGTTCGTTAAAAAAGGAAAATATAGCCTGTTGGACCTATATAATATTCCTAAACCTTTCCATCAATGTGGATATTAAAGGGGGATGATTATTGAATTAATTCATTTGAAAACAAAATTTTAACTTAATTTGGGGAAAAATAACAATCTTCTTGAAGACCCTCACAACAACAACAACAAATTAACCCATTGTTGTCTTTAATTCAAACCCATGGAACCACAACATTAAACCAGAACATTAAACTCAATTTGGGGAAAATTAACAATCCTACATCATCAAATTTAAAGGGAAAATGAACAAAAACAAGACACATGGAACCACGAGATCAAACCAGAACATTATACTAAAAAAATAACAATCTTACATCATCACCAAACAACAACATCGAATTTAAAGGGAAAATGAACAAAATTCACATCATCAAAATAACCATATCAAATGAACAAAAAAAAGATACATGGAACAAATAAACCAGAACCCCATAACTTCAATTACACCCTAAATCATCCTCTTTTATCGAACCCTTACTCAATTCATCCCATCCCCATTAAACGAACCATCACTCAATTCATCCCCTTTACACGATCCCTAACTCAATTAATCCCCTTTACATGAACCCTAACTCAATTAATCCTCCTTACACGAACCCTAACTTATTAATCCTCTTTACACGAACCCTAACTCAGTTAATCCTCTATACACGAACCCTAACTCAACTCATAACAATCAAATCAACAATTTTATCACTTTGTTGAGTTGATACCAACTTATTGCAAAAATAACTAAATTGATAAATGACACTTAAAAAAAACAATTTTAATTAACTAAACCCTCATAAAAGTATAAATTCGTTCTTTTCCAACCTTCATTATCTGCTTGCAAATAGTTCTAGATTGTGTTGAAAATAAATATTATATAGATGAAAGATGTAGAGTAAACCCGATTGTTTAGTGCAGCCTTTAAGTCAATTTTATTCTTTTTTATTATGTTGATGTTAATTCAACGAGTGATACAAATTCGTGTTAATACTTGAAACAAACTTTAAAGTTGTTGTCAATGAATGTAATTTTGCCCTAATTATTTTCTGAAAGAAGAAAATGATAGGAAAGTAAAGTTGTGGATATGTTTTAAAAGTCCTACATTAGATATTCCCTAGTAAATTGTTAATGATCATACAAATATTTATCTATATTTTTTTGGATATGCATACATAGAAAAATGTCATTAAAATCATCAAATATATTATCTTAATCTGCAAATTTACATATGCATATTACTAAAATACTGACAAAAAACTTTGCATGCCCCCGATTTACAATAAAGTTATTGTAAATCCGATGGCTGGCACGTGCGAGCATTTTTTTTTATTTCAAAAAACAAAACACACGAAGACTCATACCTCAAAGTTAGAAAACGCAGAACAAAAATGGAGGAGAGAGAAAGTGATAACATGCAGAGAGATAACACAAAAACTCATACCTTAAGGCTTCGATCATCAATGGAAAATTCATCAGCAAACTTCAATACCTCATCAAGTAATCTAATCCGCAAATTCTACAAAAACAGAGGCAAATTGAAACTCCATTGTTAGGTAATTTTGAGAACTCGAATTCTTTTGTTTAAATCGATTGAAATCGCTCGATTATAGAAGAAGATAAAAAGAGTTTTGGCGATAATAGCAATCTAGAAGAATTAGACAATGCAGAAGAGAGAGAAAATTAAGTTATCCCTCATAAATCAATTGACTCAAATTCAGAACAAACATCCAAATCAAATGTAACTGAAGGTAACATCCAATTCATATTGTTTTATTTCAATTGTTGAGTAACCAAATTAATTGAATAAGGAATCATAATTGTTATTTTTGATATGAAATTATGTTACATGTATGAATGCACGAATTACTAATCCACGAATTACTCTTGAGAAGTTTCAGAATGCACGAGTTACCCTTTGTATGAACAAATGTTACCCTATTTATGCATATAAGTGACCGATATAACACATATTATTACTCCCCTTCACTTTGATTTATAAACAGAATGACATGCTACCTCTGGTTGTCTGATATGTCTGAATTAATCCTTTGGTATGAGTGTTGTGTGAATATTATGCTAAAACATTATATTAAATCAGAGATATCCAATTGATGCCTTTGGTTTAGATCTTAGAGGATCATTTGTTGGTGTGGTAAGAGAAACTTTTGCAGAAATTTTGGAATTGTATGAAAAACATGCTGCTATACTGGGGTTTTCAATAAGAAATCATACAACAAGATACTTCACACACACAAAGATAGTCCAAGAGAAGAATTATGGGTGTTCTGCAGAAGGAAAGAGAAATTCAGGTGACAAGAAAACAAAATTAGTTGAAATGATTGATGAAGAGAATGTACACGTGAAAACAAGAAAGCCAAGACAAGTAGCCATTACACGATCTAATTGCAAGGCATGCATAAGAGAAAAACTAAATAAAGAAGGACATTTTGAGGTGGTTGCACATGTATTACAACATAACCATGAGCTAACAAGGTCACAGTGGCATTATTTGCATCGTTTTGAAAGAAAAATGACAGAAGAAAAAGCTGAAGCAATCAAAACAATTAAAGCTTCAGGTCTGACTACAATGGACACTTATAATTACATATACAGAAGCTGGGGGAGAGCAGAATGTAGGGCATAGTGTTGTAGATCACCTATAATAACTCAAGGTTAAGAATGGAGCAAATTGAGGCTAGGGATGCTCAAACTTTAGTGAACATTTTAACTCAAGAACAATCAAAGGATCCAAACTTCTTTTTTAGAGTGAAATTTGACAATGAAGGAAGAATTTACAACATATTTTGGAGAGACTCAATGATGCTAGAATACTATAGGATATACGGAGATGTTCTTGTCTTTGATACAACATATAGAGCCAACCGATATAATCTTATATGTTCTCCTTTTGTTGGTATAAACAATCACTGGAAAAATTGTATGTTTGCATGTGCTTTTATTAGAGATGAAAAAACAGAGTCATTTGTGTGGTTACTAGAAATACTTTTGAAAGCTATGGAGGATAAAACACCAACCACAATATTCAGTGACCAGGACCAAGCAATGTCAAATGCAATTAAGCACGTAAAAAGTTTATATTTACATATTTCCCTAACTATTTTGATTGCAAAACTAATAAGTTCTAACAACATACAACATTTTATTTTGAATGTAGGTGTTACCTAATACAAGGCATCGACTTTATATATGGTATTTAGAACAAAATGCAATCACAAGGTCTGGGGCTCTTAAAAAAGATACAGAGTTTAAGCATGAATTCAACAATAATGCTTAAAGGGTTGTGTGACTGAACAATAATTTGAAGAAAGGTGGCATGCAATGATACACAAATTTGAATTGACAACACACTCTTGGTGCGAAAGAGTGTATGAACTCAAAGAGAAATGGTGTCCAGCCTTTAGTAGAGATTTCTTTTCAGCAGAAATTCTTTCATCACAAAGGAGTGAAAGCACAAATCATGCAATAGGATTCAGAGCAAGTAAATCAACTACCTTGAGAGAACTTTATACCATATTTAAGAAGACAATAAATCATTGGAGAAGCACAGAGAAATATGATGAGTTCACCTATAGCAAGTCAATATCATTCACTTCATTGCCACTGTCCGAAATGTTAAAGCATGCTGCACAGATAAAAACTTATGTTCTAAAGTACATAAATAACACAATATATATATATATATATATATATATATATATATATATATATATATATATATAGCAAAGTAACAGTAGCTACATGATTTTGGTGCACAGGTTTTCACTTTGTCACTATTCAAATATTTTGAAGAGGAGTTTGGATACTCAATGGCAATAACTGTTCAAATAATAGGGAGAATTAAAGAATATGTACTTTATCAAGTATCCCTAGAAGACATGCCATGGTCTGCACATTAAGTAAACTATATACATGAGAGCCAAAGTGTACGGTGTACTTGCAAAAATTTGAAGCAACTAGATGGTTATGTTATCATTGCATCAGAATTCTACATCTACATTCAGTTACAAGAATACCAGAAAAGTATGTTACAAAAAGATGGACTAAGTTTGCAAAATCAGAGGCATGGAATAGGTTGAAGAATCAAGATCCCACACAGCCATATATACCATGGAGGCAAATAATAATGAGAAAATACTACAATTTAATCTTAAAGAGTCAAGAAAATAAAGAGACAAGGGCATTTATGGAAGAAAGCTTCAAAAATAGTCTAAAAATGGTGGAAGAATTACTTGCTACTGCTGCTCTGAGAGAAGAAGGTGTTGAAGCTGCTTCTGACATTCCTGATGTGGCAGAGAGCACTCAGAGCAATAATGATGTTTCTTCATCATCCAGTATAAGCACAAGTGTATCAACTATACTTGATCCTAAAAGAGTTGTAATAAAAGGAAGAAGCAAGAGAGCGAAAACAGGGCTTTAAAAAGGGAAGGAAAAAAAACAAAAAAGAAACTAGCACTACTACCTCCAAATTCAAAATTTGGATCAAAGACACCTAACATACGACTCTTTTAAGAATTTTTTTCTACCAAAGTTAGAAAAGTTATTTATCATTATTATTATTATACTTTGTATTGTTATACTATGTTTTCTTTTTTTACTCTATATATAGTTTGGTTAAAATTTAAGTACTAATTTCAAGCTTTATATGATATTGTTATTAGCACAATAGTAAGAACATGTTGCTATAGTAGAAACATGAACAAAGTAAGAGAAATAGGGAAACGCATACCCTTTTGTGCAAAAAGGTTACACTTTTGTGAACATAAGTTACCCTTTTTATGCACAAAAGTTACCCTTATGCAAAAAAGTGACCCCATTAAAAAACTAAAGTTACTCTATTTACTGCATAAAGTGACCCTTTTAACTGCATAAAGTGACCCTTTTTAGTGCATGAAGTGACCCTATTTCGTGCACAATTAAAAAAGAGAGATATATACTAATAACATTTCAAATTACTTTAATGTATGCACATACATACAGTTTTCAAAAAAAAAAAACCACCAAAAACTACATTCACTTTTCAAAAACAACTGCCAAAAACTATACCATCGAAACTTTAATTACATCATTATACTTGAACTATGCACATACATTGAGCTTTCAAAATATACTACTCCACCTAATCACTAACAAGTTAGTTCACTCTTTAGAAGGAGTGTACTTCTTTGTTGGCTTTTTTATCCTTTTTTCTTAAGGATTCTCTTCTACCTTTGCCTATGCTGCTTTCTTTTTCTTCTCAGCTATTGCAGCCTTTCTTTTTTCTTTAATTTTCTTGACATAATCAGCATTTTTCTTCCTCTCATTGAACTTGGCTACTTCTACCAAGACATCTGCCCTGGATTCATTCATATCACACAATACAAGTGTGGTACAGATCTGTCAACGCAGATATTTTCTTCCAACAACCTCACAACAGAGGAAAAAAAAAAGCTTATCAATATGAAAGAACTTAAACATCAAAAAGGGAAAAAAAAAAAAAGACAAATAGATGAATACTTACTGTTTTGAGTTCATTTAATATGAACGATTCACCAACAATATGGAGCATGTGATACATGACATACACTCCACAGTCAGTGTTGTCAATCTTAGTCTTTCTCCATAGTAAATCAACAACTTTAAACTCATAGAAAGGTAGTTGTGTACTCTTTGGATGATTTCTTTTTCCAAGAAAAGCACCCAATTGATCACACTGATAAAAAAATATTTAAATTAAGAATGCAAAAAAAAAAAAAAAAAAGATTGAAACAATAAACTTATATACACAAAGCATATCACTTCTAGAAAACGGGAACATGCCAGATGAAAAGACAACTTTTCAAAATACTCAAGAGTAGCATCACACCAAATAATATTGTCAAGATAGTAGTAAACCAACTCTTTTGCATGATCAACAACACTAGGAACATAGATCTGAAACAGTAAAATTAAAAGTGCTTTAATGAGCATTTCACAGACATAACTCTTTTCGGGGTATGATATTAGTTTAGCATGAAACACTAGGAACATAGATCTGAAACAGTAAAATTAAAAGTGCTTTAATGAGCATTTCACAGACATAACTCTTTTCGGGGTATGATATTAGTTTAGCATGAAATATACCAGTTTAGCATCCATTATATCACATCCAGGATTCTCGTAGTAGATCCACCCTTTCAATAAATCGTGCAAATCTTTAACATAACCAGAATTGTCACCTTTCTCAAGCTCAGAAACATACAAAAATGCAAACTATTAAAGTATAAGGTCAATGTGTGTGTGTGTGTGTGTGTGTGTATGTGTAAAGTCAATGTGTTTAAATATATAAAAGCATCAAGTTACTTACACTTTGCCTCACACCAAAAAAGAATCTTCGAGGACCAGAAAGCTATGCTACCTCATTCAAATACAGGCATAGCAATCAACAATACACTATCAAATCTTAAGTGGAGAGGAAATGCATTAACACCATATCTACTCTCGAAACTAGAAAATTCATCCCAAAAGTCACAAGGTTCTCAATGCAACGATAAAAAAAATAAGATAAGTATTAAGAAAAATCAAGGAAAAAAAACGGATAAAAGAATACTTATGACTAAAAATGACACTTAACTTCCTATTCATTGATTCATCCTTCAGTAAAGAATAATCAAGAATTCCAAATGTAACTGAGGCAAACTGTCGAAAATCCGAGCATTACCCCTCATAAAAAGAGTCACAAAAGGCACTTTCTGACCTACTGGCCCACAATCCAGTGAACATAAAGATTTATTGAATCTAATAGGCTGAGGAACACCTTAATTATTACCAGGTTCAGGAATATCTTGATTATTAACAAGGTCAGGAACATCTTCATTACAACCAGGGTCAAGAACATCTTCACGATTTGCTTCAACATGATTTGTCGCATTAGGAATGTCAAAATTAAAAAACTCATGTGCAGACTTCATCTTCATACACTCCTCAATTATACCATCTAAAAGCTTATGATAATGAGGATCAAAGAGTAATTATTGAGTTTGAGAAACTGCTACAGGATCCTCACAAGACAATGAAGTAGTTCTTTCAGAAAGAACATTGGTAACCAAATCACTCAAAGTTTTAAAACCCTTTGACTGAACGCTTGAAAAAACATCCATATTATTTTTAAGCAAAAGAAAGGATTCATGAACAACCTACAAACAGAGAAACAAAGAAAAACTAAACAAATGTAACAAAGAAAAATAATGAAAAAGTTACTTAAACTGAACATTTAGAGTAACTTTAGTGCACATAAATGGTAACTTTTGTGCACATAATGGGTAACTTTTATTAGTATACTACTACAATTTCCTTGTTTTTGCGACGCTTTTAAAGCTTATTTTGGACGCCAAAAAGCATCGAGAATTTTGCTCTCGACGAAAAAGCATTGAAAAAAGGTGAGTCGAGAATTTTGCATGACACCAAAAATCTCGACGCTGTTTTGTGTGCAAATTTTTATACTAAGCATCCATATTTGAAACTGGTTGGCGCAATTTCTCAAAGTTTGCGACGCTTTTTCATGTCTACCAACAAAACATTTGCTACGCCTTTTATTGTCCTTGGTTCCTAATATATAATTTATTGACACCCTTTTCTGCTTGTGTTTTAATTTTGGCAACGCTTTTCAACGTCCATGTCAATTACAAAATTCCCTTCATAATAGCGTCGAGAGTTCTTATTTATGCAAAATCAATGCTTTCATTAGTGCTTTCTTACTGATATAATATTAGGGCTGGTAATTGAAGACAACATCCTTGTGCTATGAAAAATTCGAAAATCATAAATTAATAAACAAAAATCTCATTTTATTATATAAATTTATTAATATCTTCCTTTACACTCGAATATTCATACAAGCAAAAATAGCACAAAAATGTTTCTAAGCTATTAGTTATGGATTTTAACAGCACATTTAGAAGGATTTCTTCTTAATCAATGAGTTAATTTGTCGTCATGTCTAGCCAAGCTCATTTCTTCACAAAAAAAAAATCTTCAATCAATCTCCAATAATCCAGCTGCTCCTTAATAAGCTTGTAGGTGGGCGTAAAACAAAGTTCAGATTATAGACTAGTGCATTGAACCTGAACATGAAAAACAGGCTGCATTAGTGGGAGTACTAAAAGCAAATTACATATAGTAAGTATACTGACTTTCATTTTTGGTTTACAAGTACCAAATTGAATGACAATAAGCAACGTATTGCACGTGTAAACATGAAACAATTCTTACAAGTCAATTTCCATGTTCATTAAGTCACCTAACCAACGTTATATATATAATTATATACGAAGTATCATACCTTAAGAAAATATGCTTACATCTTGGATTGTTGATCTTTGAATTCCTGAAAGAAAGTAGAGAGCCTCATTGTTTAAATTAATAAACTCCTCGACATTTTCAGCAATGGTCAAACTCTTTCATTGATGCAGAGCTAGAGAAGGTGATAATTATCTTACCTGTGCACTCTTCTTTCACTTTGGAAATGAAGAAAGTTCCCACACCAGAACGTGTACCAGTACCACCTCCATAATAGTGACATAATTTAAAGCTTCTGCCATTATGAAATGACTGCAAAAACATAAAAAAGTGAATATCAAAATAAGAAAAGTTTTAGCCCTGCTATATATTGTACGCAACAAATAAGGAGTTGCATAGCATAGTTGAGTTGTAAGAGATGGCCACCTCTTGCATTACTCTCCATCTATGAATAAAATGACCTTGTGACTAAGAATGAATAAACTACACTATTAGAATAGATTAGAGCATTATGTCAACAGAGATATATAAAATGAAGACTAATTAGATAGTGACAAAATTTTTTTGAAAACAAAAATAAAATTTAGAATCAATCATACCAGCAGAAATCAAATCCAAATAATTATAAATGACAGAATCATAGAGAGAAATAACATTGCCCACATAGCACTTATTCTAGTAGTGAAATCAAATTCAGAAATAAGAGAGATCCAAAAATACAATTTATAAATGCAACCACATAGTGCAGAAAACAGTTTAAGCGACATGGAAGAGTTCCCACAAACTTAGGAAACTAGAAAATCTGTACATACTATAATATACTTTAATAACAAAATGGAAAAGAGATGGAAATTAAGAAAGATGCCAGGGATAAAAGAAAAATTCTATCCATATTAAGGATTGTAAAAGAGTCACTATCACAATCAATTTCATATTTAACATGTTACATGAAGGCAAAAAGTTTGTTATATAAATGAGTAGAGAAAGACAACAAGTAATAATCAGTAGGACTAAATTGCTTCAATCTCTTATTATTTATACAAAGCATTAAGTCAAGCATTGTTTTCTTTTTAACTCTTCAAATCATGTAATATTTATTCTTTACTTCAATCGAGTAATCTTTAACAAGCTAGAAGTCACACTCTGACAACAATTACCAATTTTCATAAAAAAGAGCAGAAAATTAAATCTCAATTAAGACTTATGATGTGTACAACCAATGCTGAAAAACAAACAAGTATTGTAATAAAGACTTGAGATCATGAAAAGAGAAATGTCACTAAAAACCTTGAATCAAAGGTTTAAAAAACTTACCTCTAAGTATTGCAGATAAGACTTAATATATATACATACTTTGATGTAGTCATCCATGCTAAAATAATTACCATAATGAAATGTTGTTATAAACTGAAGTTCACATTGTATAGCAAAGAGGTATATCTATGTTCTAATCTATTCTCACAACAAAATCCGGATCACATCTGCAAGATGGCAGCAACCATAAAAAGACTTCTAGACTTAATTATGAATACCGATCATCTCTTTTCATAATCTTTCAATGATCTAGAGACTTAATTGATTAATAATGTATAAGAACCATAATCATTTACAAGCCCCCTCCTTTACAAAAATAATAATAATTAACAAGCCTCTATCAATTTGCCATTTAACAATAATTAACAAGCCTCTATCAATTTGCCATTTAACAAATCCTTCAGGATTTTCATATTTGCTACTACTCCAAGAGGATATTTTAAGTAATGTCATCAGTGGCACTACTCCGAATTAAGCATCACATCGAGGAGCATATTAGCGTGACTAACAACTAAACCAAACAATATTCATTTTAAATTTCAATTGTTCCAAAAACTATCAAGAAAACCATTACTTAAAACATTCGTTAAATCCTATACATTTAGAACTTGGAGAAGATTTAACTTGAGACAAATTCATAAAATCTAGAAATTCAGACTTAAATAAAAAAAAAAATAAAAAAAAAAAAACAAAAGATTGATACTTGATACAAATTGTGTTCAATTTCCTCTTCTTTATAAAAATTGACAGACAAAATGTTCGACATAGAATTTCACTTAGCTATTAATGAAGTAGATTTGGAACTACAGAAGCAGAGAGAGGTGAGAGAAATCATTGACCAACTCGTCCCATATCTTAAGCAGTGAATAAAAAAAACAATTAATTTCAGATTTGGATTAAAATTGTAGCCTTGTAGCACAAATAGAAGCATAAACAAAACTCTGAAATTCTTCTTCGGGAGCCAAACCCATCTCTTATCAAAACATAACTCAAAATCATAACCCTTCAAATGATTTAAAATACTGAATTCTAAAAGGAAATCAGGAATAAGAAACTACCTCAAATCATCGATCTGAACAAAGGGACGTATTTGATTAACATTGACGATGAGTAATGGAAATTCTGCAATGTAATACACAAAGAAAAAGTAAATTTGAATCCGAACTTGATGAATTCTTTGCAATTTTAGAGGATTAGAAAAGAAAAGGAGACGATACCAACAATGTTGAGAACGAGGGTTTCTACTTGTTCAGAAGCGGCAGTTATGTTTTTCCCTAAAATGAATTGAGAAGATGCAGGTTAAGCAAACTACATCACGTGTCCGACACGTGAGTGATTCTCGACGCTTTCAGAGTCGAAATAAGTTTCGAATTAGAAAAGTGTCGAGAAATTACGCACACTATAATAATTACTTGACGCCCCTATTATAGCGTCGAGCTAATAGCATCCAAAAAATACGCATTTTGCTGTAGTAAATAAAGGGTAACTAAACAAAACAACCACTTACATCAGTTGAAATTTGTTTGATTTCATCATCAGTCATGACACCATCTGGAGAGCTCAAATTGAACAAAGCGGCTGATTGTACCACTTGAACAAGCACCACTAACATTTAAACCACCCTAATTAGATCCCAAACTAAGAGGTTTCTTAACAACAGTTTGGCTAATTGCATACTGTGACAAAGGATATGTAGATGTATCCCATGGTCCCTGCCCAAAACCATCAGTTTTAACCACTAAATTAATCTAACTCTTAACCTTAGCATATGTCCAATGTTGAATCAAAGGAAGGCTACAACTTTCCTTTTGTCCTTGAAAGTTTAAACAACGAAAAATACAGAATTTGCAAAACCAGCAAACATCCACTCACACTTTGAACAGTTAGATCCTTGTTATACTTATCAACAAACTTTTTTAAATTCCTCAAAACATAAGAACACCAATAAAAAGTTTTAATTTCATCAACTTCTTCAACAGCCTTTAGCAACTTCAAAGAACTGTCCTATTAGGAGTAGGAGTTAAAAAGCTAGACATAGCATGAACCACAAAAAACCTCTTAAATGCTACCCCTCCATCAACCAACTCCTGCATCCGAGACTCTAATTTTTCCAAAGAAATAGATTGCTTATTAGAAGCATCAAAATCAGATCTCCATGCCTGAAGAATACAGTTGTCTACACTTGCACCTTCAGAATTTTTTTTGAGTTCAGGAACAGGAATATCACCCATAGGCAAGCAAAACACATCACATACATCATTCTTAGTAACTACAAATTCTTTACCACTACCAACGGTAAATATGCAGCTACCACCATTAAATTTTCAACAAGCCAAGATAGCATTTTACGAGAGAGAGTTTTTAATTTTAAATGTAACAAACTGCCAAAACCAACTTCAGCAACAACTTGTTTTTGTTTATCACTAAAGTTCTTCACCAAATTTCCCAAGGTATGTGGTCTACACCTTGTCATCAAAGGTCTCTAGACCCTAAAAAAAAAATAAAAAAAAAATTAAAATTAAAACAATATAGACTACAAACCAAATATAATAAAAAAATGCAAATCAAGAATCATTGAAAACATGTTCTCTTACATTGAAGTATCAGAATCAGAATCAGAAACCAATTCCAACTGAGAACTCCTCTTTCTCTTCTCTACATCAGTTACTGTTTTGACATTCTTACGTACTGTTTTGACCTTCATAGGTAAAAAATTACCCTTAGTAGACTCTTCAGGTACTGTTTTGACCTTCTTAGCTACTACATTACCCTGAGCAGACTCTTTAGGCATTGCTTTTCCCTTTGAAGGCACTTTATAACGATATCCACCTATAGAACCACCTATATCAAATAGTTATGCATAATGATTAATACAGAGATAAAAGTTACCACGAATTACTAATTCACAAATTACTCTTGAGAGAATTCAGGTTGTATGCAAAAAGGTTACCCTTTGTATGCATAATGTTACCCTTTTTATGCATATAAGTGACCGATATATCACATAGTATTACTTCCCTATACTTTGATTCTAAACACGATGACATACTGCTTATAAATTCTCATACTTTACCTAAAAACCAAGATCAATTCCAATTATCATACTCTGCCTCAAAACTAAGCGAAAAATTCAATTACAAACTCTAAAAATAACATGCACTAGTTATAGTTTATATAACAACACATTTATAAGCAATTTATAAGCAATTAAATACAATAAACAAAAAATTAAGCAAAATTAAACACATTAACTTCAAAATTGAATTCTAATTATCATAATCTGCCTAACAAAAAGCAAAAAATTCAAGTTCTGAAAATAACATGCAGTAGTTGTTTGACATATAACAACATATTTATAACCAATAATAAGCAATTAAATACAATGAACAAAAAAAATAAAGCAAAATTAAACACATTAACTTCAAAATTCAATTCCAATTATCATAATCTGCATAAACAATTAAAATTCAAGTGTAAACTCTGAAAATAAAATGCACTAAAGATTGGACATATAATAACACATTTATAAGCAATTTAATTGAAAATTGACTTAAATTTTTTGAAATAAATCCTGAAAAAAATTAAGAATACGAACCTGCATCATTTGACGACTTATATTTACTCTTCTTCTTCACCATTGCAGAGTACTAACACTACAAAAAACCGAAACCAACAAAAAAAACTCAAAAAACCTAAAAATCGAAGAATCAAAACAACTAAAACTAACAATAATGCTCAAAAAATTAAGTAAACAAACCTGAATGTAGCAAAAACAACTTCGCAAGTGAAAGAGAAGAGAGAAAAAGCTCGATAATCGCCAGTTGAGGAGAGAGAAAATCACCGGTTGAGGAGAGAGAAAATCGCAAGAGAAAATTGAGGAAGAGAGAGAAAGTGGTCAGTCTGAATGAATGAGGAAGCGAGAGATATTTTTTTTACTATGGCAAGTAAAGCACTGGCACGTGTGAGTTGAATTTAGGGAAATAAATGCTTTCCAAAAACTTCCGCCACACACAAACTTAATGTAAATCCGCTTTTATTAAACATTTCTGAAATACTAATTATTATTTGTTCCTTCTTTACTCACCATATTATTTTAAAGTCACAAACGAGCCCCACCAACTACAATTGCTTGTGGGTAGGGGGTTTCCTTATCTCCCCTCTCTACTCTGAAGCGTTGACCTGCAGAGCTGAGTTGACTTTTTCCTGTTAAAGGTGGTGTTTCAGTAGGGTCCTTTATTTTACCTTAAAAAAAATTACTACTCCCACCATTTTGTAATAATTGTAACACTTTATTTTAAGGTGTCGTTTGCTTGACATATAAAAACATAGGAAGTTGAAATTCCTAGGCATTGTGAATCTTTGGAGTTGTTTGGCTGACAAATTCATGGGAAGTAGAAATTCCTATGAATTTCGAGTTCACACAAAATGAAGGTATTTAATTACCTAGGGAGACCTAGGTAAGTGGAATTTCCCCATGGTTAACCAAACACAATTTAGCACTTCCCATGAATACCAATTACATGGGAATATAAATTTCTATGGAATTTGCATTTCCCACTTTCAACCAAACGAGGCCTAAGTATGTTTCATAATAATTGCAATACTTCCGTATTTGTTAAGGACCCAATATTATTTTATTAATTCTCTCTCCTATTAACTCCACTTACACTATTTTTTATTTTTATTTTTATATTACTTCTATCTCATACAAACAGTTAAATATATCCCTTCCAACTAGGGGTGGGACTTCGGTCTGGCAGTTCGGTTTGACCTCAGTTTGAAATGGTTTCGGTTTGAAACAGTTCGGGTTAAAACGGTTTCATTTAGATGGCGGGTCGGTTCAGTTCGGTTTTGATTAGTCACAGGTCGGTTCGGTTTCGGTTTATTTTTGTACGATTTAAATTCGGTTTGGGTCATAAACGGTTCGGTTTATAAACAATTCGGGTCATAATCAGATCGGTTAGAAACGGGTTGCTTCAGGGGTGGATTTACTCGGGTCAATGCCGGTTCGGTTTTTAAACGGTTCGGTTAATAATCGGGTCGGTTTGAAACAGGTCGGTTCAGGGGCGGGTTTACCCGTGTCAATGCCCGTTCGGTTTATAAACGGTTCGGGTCATGATCTGACCGGTTTGAAACGGATCGGTTCAGGGGCGGTTTTACCGGGTTAACGTCGGTCTGGGTTCATATCGGTTCGGGTCATGAACGGATTATTTTGAAATGGGTCGGTTCAGGGGCGGGTTTACCCGGGTTAATGCTAGTTCGATTCATATCGGTTCGATTTATACTCGGTTTGGTGCTAAAATCGTTCGTGTTAGTTTGGTAATCGGTTAAATTGGATCGGGTTGAAATCGAGTTCTAAAAAGTGGTTTTGACCAGTTAGCGCGTTTTGTTTTATATCAAGTTGGGACTAGTATTTCCATTTCATTAGCGGGTCGGCATAGGTTGGTGAAAAAAAATAATGGATCGAGTAGAAATTGGGTTTTAAGAGATTTTTGACCGGTTAGCTATTTTCGTTTTATATAAAGTTGGGACTTCGTCACTTTATTTTCAGACATCGGATTATATACAATTACACAAATCTTCATTTATTCAATTATTCTATATCATGTTAATATGTTATGTTTCAAGTTTGGTTATACTCTTGTTGTTGTTTATTCGATATTATCATATTAGTCTATTACAAATTTATAATGTATTAATGTATTATTGTTTCATTATTAAATATATATTATTAGGTTATCAGCTTCTTGTTGGATTGTTTTAGATATCGTGTCATGACCATGTTTTGATGAGTTGCTACTTTGAATACGATAAATCGATTCAGATATCAGATTATATAGAATTACAGAAATTCTCATTCATTCTATATCATGTTAATGTGTTATGTTTCAAATTTGGTTATAGTCTTGTTGTTGTTTATTAAATATTAGTCTATTACAAATTTATAAGGTATTAATGTATTATTGTTTCATTATCAAATATTATCAGGCTATCAGCTTCTTGTTTTAATTGTTTTAAAGATCGCGTCATAACCATGATTTGATGAATTGGTACTTTGAATACGATAAATCGATAATTGATATTGTAATAAACTAATAATTTAATGTTACGGAACTATATTTGGATGTTTAATTAAAATCACGATTATTCAATTTCCCATTAGTCTAATAAAGTAATAATTGACAATTGTTTGTAACTATTCCATAATTTTGGTGTTAAAGTTATATTGATGAATTACTTTGTTGTCTTACCCTCTCTAATCACCTTTTTAGATTACGTGCCTACAAGGTTGCAACATATATATGTTGCAACTTGCAAGTTAAAG